CAAATATCTCTGAATATCTGATTTGGGGATTTCCAACCACTTGTCTTTGACAGCTTCTTTTACCAGGGAGTTTAAAAAAATAATCTACTGGTGGGGCTGGGGATGTAGCTGAGTGGGAGAGCTCTTGCGTAGCATGCATGAGGTCTTCCGTTTGATCCTCAGCATCATAACAAGCAAAACCAAAAATAAACAAAAGACCCAAGCGATTTTGTGTACCTTTAAAATATATTCTGTGTTAAAACTTCATATTTCTTCAGCAATATGTCCCTTTTTCTTATTCTAATGCTCAAAGTTTGCAAGGGCAAAACGTTTCACTTAAATACTTAGTTTTTAATTTAAGAACACATCATAGGGCTTGTTAAAACAGATCTGGGCAAGAGGTTCAAGCAGTAGAGCCTGCCTAGCAAGTGCGAAGCCCTGAGTTCAAATTCCATCACTGCTCCAAACCAAACAAAACAACCTCCCCCCCATAATGCCTGTCCTACCCCCACCCACCCACCCACATTGTCTGGATTTGTAGGCTTGGGGTTGGGCCAGAAATTTTGCATTTCCAAGTTTCTATATGGTGCTAATGGCCACATAGCAGTGGTTTGAACTCAGGGCCTCACCCCATGTCCCACTCTGAGAAGCAGTTCTCCAGATAAAGTATCACAGGAAATGATAGCAGTGTGGTCTCAGGTGTGGGTACTGGAGGTGGGGAGAAGTGCATAAATTTGACCTTGACTGAGAAAGTTGGATGGGACTGTCAATCAGTGGATGGATGTAACAGACTCAAGTGAGAAGGAGCTGGGTGCCAGTACTGGATTATGATGGGAAATCCTGTTCCATTTTGGGAGGGTTGAAAGTTTCAATGATGTCTTTTAAATACAAGCCCAACTGGCTGGGTGTAGCTCAGGAGCTGAGCTCTTGTCTAGCATGCAAGAAGCCCTGGGTTCAATCCTCAGTACTATGAAAAAAAAAAAGTCAAGCATGATTGCTAGCAGAAAGTAAGTTTTCAATAAATGGAACTGTTTTTCTGCTGCTTTTATCTTCACTGTGAGAGCCGAAGAGTTCTCATCATGGAACTTAGCCAGAGGTAACTCCCAACTCCATTTCTCAGCAACCACATTCCAGGGCTGGGACAACTCATTTGTGTGATTCAAGAGACTTAAGTGTGAACAAGGAAATCTCCTGTCTATAGACACAGTCCACAGGTGAGTGGATGGGAAAGGAAGAGCAAAAGGTCGGAAAGGAGGCAAAGTTCAGATTTATAGAAATTCTTGCATGGTCATAGATTGCCTTAGAACTGTGTTAATAGATGGAACCTTCCCATTTTACAGATGAAGGAAAAATGACTTGTCTGCTGTCTTCTAAAAACTTGAGTAAAAATTCAAGCCTAGCTTTGACTTGGCTCCATTGTACTTATGCATTCTACTATGAAACTGAACCTTTGCCAAACAATAGACTAGTTATCTTTCCTTTATTGGCCTTTCTTTTGCAGACCTACCTAGGCTGCCACTGTACCCTGAATACCCTGCAACTTTTGTAATCCTGACCCACAGTCAGAACCACTTTTTACAAAGCAAGTCAGTATAAACACGTATATGTATGCATGTGTCATACACTTCATGTTTAACAGTGTGTTAGAAACTCATTTCCAATAACTAATGCTTATGGAGATTGCAATATCACCAATATTCTCAGCAAAAGCATACTGGTAGTTTTTTGTTCATTTGTCACAGGAAACATTTGTCAGGACTCACAGAATTGACTTCACGTTCAACAAGCCAGATGAGAGCCCTGAGGAAAGGGAAAAAAAGGAAAGCAGGAAGTTAGTAAAGCCATCATCAGTGAAGTGTCCACATTTGTTTGCCTGGCAGAGGTTTGTGGGAATCAAATGTAGTACAATATAGATGAAAGAGCCTTCAAAACAACCAGGTTTGATTCTACCCACATAGATGTGTTCACTTGGACTGACCATTCAAAGCTGTTTTTTGATCTATAACATAAGGGGTATGGTCCAGATCTTCAAGCCCTTCCCTGCCTTCAGGGTTAGAATGCTACTATAAATAAGTCCTGGGGAACTGGTAACCCCTTGGGACTCTGAAAGAATAATGTAAGATAAGGCTAAAGGTGATGGTGATTCTTTTATAAGGAAACTGGTTTTTGTTTTTTTCTTTTAAATCTCCTGAAGGAATTTGTTAGATAAAAGGAGAAAAGACTCAATCTTGAGGGCAGTGACCAGACTCATTTTTTAGTTCATTCATGGAAGATGATGAGTAAAGAGATTCATCTTCTTTTTTTTTTTTTGGTGGGACTGGGATTTGAACTCTGGGGTTTGTGCCTGCAAAGCTGTACTCTACTGCTTGAGCTCCATCTCCAGTTCATCAGCTTCATTTTTAAGTGGTCAACAAAATTATTCATGCTCCAGGAGTAGAAAAGAGACATCAGGCAATACAGCAAATGTAAAATTTCACGTTATATTTAGAGGTATCATCACGCCCCCCCACAAATATTGTTATCTAATTTCCCCAGCCAGGTGTTAGGAAGACCTAGGAAAAGGAGCTTAAATATCTAGGGTGTTCAAGGGTAGACCGATTTCTACAAGTGCCAAGTGCTGGCTAAGATTCAATTATAGTGATATGTGTGTATGTTTTGTGGCTAAGTTGTACCTGTGTTTAAGATGACCAGGAAACTGTGGGTGGCAATTAGCTTGGCCTTGCCTCATCTGGGATGGGGCAACAGCAGTAGAAAGGTCAAATGCTTTGCCCCCAGTCATGTGAGTAAGAAGACAAAGACCCAGGACTGGTGTTGAGGAGTCAACTCTTATCCTAATTCCCACCCCCTGTCCTGCTTGCCTGATGCCCAGTCACTTGCCAGGAGGTTTTTATACAGAGGATAAGCTGCCCTTAGTGGAAGCAGGACTAGGCCTTTTCTTGAATTTGAAAAAGTACCATATGGCTACCTGGTTGAACACTTTAAATATACCTGTAAAATCAACTGTAGGGGTTATATATCTTTTCTCGTCATGTAACCATTTGCATGTCTCTATAGAAATTACTTTTTTTGTGTGTGGTGATTCTAGGGTTTGAACTCAGGGCTTTGGCTTGAGCCACACTTCCAGTCCATTTTGCTCTAATTATTTTGGAGATGGGGTCTCCCCAACTATTTGCCCAGGCTGTCCCTGAACCTATCTATCCTCCTGATCTCAGCCTCCCAAGAAGCTAAGATTACAGGCATGAGCCAGCAGCACCTGGTCACTTTTTTGTTTTAGAGACCACCTTAACAGAATTTACTTGGGTTCACAGAATCATAGATCATGTGAGAGCCTTGGAAATCCATCTGGTCTAACTCTGTATCAGCCCAGAAAAGCATCAGGCCTGGCAATACTGTCCCATGGTCCAGTGCTCTTTCTCATTCTGCATGGATATCTGGTTACTACCAAGGGAGAGCCTTCTCTTTTGTTTTTTTTGACACAGAGTTTAGCCCAGGCTGGCCTCAAATTTGCATCCTCCTGCCTCAGCCTCCTGAGTGTTGGGATTACAAGCTGGTACCACTATGCCTGGCTCTTGCTTTTCTTTCTTTTCAAAAACAGCATCATCAGGAATTGTGCTCATAAACTGATTAATTTGTTGGTGCTGGGAATTGAATTCAGGGCTCCGAATGCACACTACCACTAAACTATACCTCCAGCCCCATCGGTTTTTTTTGTATGTTTTGAATTTTCCTGTAAAGCTATTCATCATTGCATGGGTTGGTGTCCCCAGCAAGGCAATTATGCTTTGTCAAGAGGAATTCAAAGATACTTTCTCAACCCCTCCTTTTTATGTGGGCTCAGGAGAAAAAAAAAAATAATCCCATAAAACAGGAGAAACTTCTGAAACACAAGACTTTTTCTCCCTGCGGCACCTCACCTGATTCCCCCCATCCCAACTCTTTAACAGAGATTCCTTGTGGTTTCTTAACTTTCCCAACGTGATCAATCACCAAATCAAACGTGACACGAATTGTCATCTCCCAGGGAAAATACTAAGTGGCTTAAAAGAAAAAATCACAGAAGGAAAAAATAACCTCTCCAGGGCTATTTCCCTCATAAAATAAATCCGTCACGGATCTTCCCCTTGGAAAAAACACACGGGGTCCAAGTGTGCAGGGTCTGAGTGGCTACAACCATTAACATCTAGTTTTGAAAAGAGCCAGTTGCCTGTGTGCTTAAAGTAAGGCGCCCCCGAGCCAAGGGGCATTTCCCCTAATTAGCGGAAAGCCCTAGCAGTGCCTAGCATTGTGGGGACTCAGGAGCCAAAATGTCCCACTCCTAAAACGATCCAAACAATGGCTCGTGCCCAAGCCTTCACACTTGTTTTTTTTTTTCCCCCGCGAAGTCTTGGCTGAGAAAGCAGGGTTATAATTCCTTAGGTCGGTTGCCTTTCCGAGGGGGCGAGGTGTGCCTTGTAACGACCCTTCTTGTGAATTCTTTCGGCAGGAGTGGTTTAAAGATTAACTTTGTGCGGTTTGTGGGACCCGCAGCGCCGCAGTGAATGGCGTGATTGGGGACCGGTGCGGGCCTGAGGCCGCGGCGCGGTGGCTCTGTCAACAGGCGATTTGTTCTCCTGTCCCGGGCTCATTTCCATGCAAAGAGCCTGCCATCAGAGCACCTTTTGTTGCTAAACGCTTTCTTGCGCCTGGAGGGGGGAGAGTCATGTGGAGCTGGAAGAGCTCATTTTGAACGGAGGGGTCCCGGCAGTTGCATCCCAGGTCCCGACGCGCCGCGTCCCCCTGCGGGGTCCTGCCCAGACTTGCCAGCAGGAGTGAGTCGCGTGCCGCCGCCGCCCGGTCCCCGTCCCAGGAAGCGACGCCTCGGCGGCGGGGTTAATTGCTGGTGGGCCGATCGAGCTCCCCGCCGCCGCTCCCAGTGGTGCGGACTTTGCTCGGGCTCCGGGTGGCCGCGCCGAGTCGGGCCGGGAAAGTTTCTGGAGTTGTCAGTCGCACTGCCCGCGGCCACTTGGAGCCGAGGTGCGGGCGCCTGCGCGGGGCCCCGGGGGGCTGGCCAGGCCGCCCTGGGCATGCTGCGCGGGGGCGCGGCTCGGTGACGCCGCGGGCGGGGACCCTGCAGCCCCGGAGGCCGGGAGCTGTTGCAGGGCGAGTGCGCTGCGGGGACCCGGGCGCACGGCCCGCGCGCGGGACGCGGCCATGGAGGAAGACGCGGGAGCAGCTGGCCCGGCGCCGGAGCCCGAACCTGAACCTCAACCTGAGCCTGAAGCCGGCACCTCCGAGGCGTTCGCCCGGCTCTGGACCGACGTGATGGGCATCCTGGTGAGCTACCTGGGGAACGAGGCGCGGGGACCCGGGCTCACTTCTCGCCCATCCAACCCGGCGCCCCTCTCTTAGCCGAGTCTCCCTCCCCTTGCTCTGGTTCTTAGAGGGTTAAATACACATAGGATAGGATTTCAAACCCCAATTAAAAAATAACCAGCCACGATCACATCAAAGACACTTTTTCTACCACCGGGCAGAATGTGCTACAGTTTAATCAGGGACACCTGCTAAGAGTTGGTGTAGAAAAAGCAAGAAAGAGCCCTTCAAAGAGGAGATGTAAATACTACTTGTAAACATTTGGCTGGTGGACTTCTCCCAGTGGGATCTGGAAGAGGCTGATGGGACTGATGTTTATCTGGTCACCATTTGTTGTGTGGCCACGGGAAGAACACAACCATTTCCTTATTCAGGGCCGCCAGCGTGTGTTTACTTATTCTGTTCGCAGTTTTTGCAGTTAGTAGAATTACAGTATATTTGTTTTATATGTTTGGGGCTAAAAACAATAGGACTTATTTTGCTAAGTCTGTGCTGTCAAGTGTTTTTGAAATGTCCAGTGACTTAAAACCGCCCACGGAGTTGGCATAATTTGGGAAAGCAGTTTTTACACATGGAGAGAGGGTGAAGTTTTAACCTGAGGAGAGTTTAATACTCTGAGGAATTAATAGATCTTGTTTGGTGGAGCTGTTGTTAGGCAGGTCCACTGCACTTAGATGGATGGGAGTTATTACAGTCAGGCATCTTATTTCTTGTATAGAAAGAGAACTGTAGTGTATAGATCTGGAATGACCAAATGCATGGGTCATTAGAAAAGACTGAACATTTTTACTTTGAGATCTTTCCTTTTTTCAAATGGGAGATGTTTTTAGGAAGCATCTCTGGGAATGAGTAACAGTGTACAGTTTTTACCATAATGATTAAACTTTGAAGTGGGCTATCCCGGCTCTCCAACTGGTTGTCTGTATTGCCTTGACCATGTTAGTCAACCCTTCTGATTCTCGGTTTCATCACCTGAAAAAAATGAGGAAAAATGAGGACTTATCCTGTTTTTTTCGAGCTTTGACTGTGGCAATGTGTATTAAGTGTTCACCATACTGCCTGGCGTATAACACAGCTCTGTTCATATTGCTTTCCTGTAATTTCCACACATCTCAGTTATTCCACTTGAAGTGTCCATTAGTATTTATGATTATTACTATACAGAGAACCAGGAAAGGTTAATTAAAGATTTCTATCTTCTCACTCTTCAGTATTTAAAAATATGTATGATAAAATAGACATTTACCTACATCATGTATATGCGTACAGTGTATGTACAATATTTATTTTGGATTTAAAAGCTTCTGTTGTTGCATTTTTTAAAGCCTTTTGGATAAGTAAAATCCTAAACTGAAATTCCCTTTTAAAGTGGTGATAGACTCTTAAGTTCATCAAGCAGGAAGCTTATCTTGTTATTTGTTGCTGAGATTTCATCCTGTAAATTTTCAGTCACTGAGAACATGGTTTGATAACATCACATTACATCCTTAAGGCGGGTGGGCTGCGGGTGTGTGTGGCTTTACTGAAAGTTGGGCTGAGGGTGGTTTTCGGGAGGACCATTGGCAGGTGGCACTTTCTGAATATTTGCTTTCCCTTCTCTGGCAGATTCCAGCATTGTTGGGTCAGTTGGCGTAGAGTGTTCTTTGGCTGAGTTAAAAGATGGGGTGGGGCCCTAGAAGCCCAAACCTGTTATTCAAAAGGCAGATGCAGGAGAAAAGGAAGTACGTTCTCTTTACCCAGCTAATAGTTGAGAATGAGGCAGGAAAGAAGATAAGCGGGTCCCACACAGGTTCTGTCTGCTCGCTTTTTCCCTTTATGCAGTCTTGATTTCCTTTTGGGTAGACTTGGACATTGGGATTGTTCCCTACTAAAATTCAGAGAAAAAAGATGGCCCCTCTCCCTTTGTACATGCAAGTATGGTGATACCAGCTTAAAAAGGAAGAATTTTCTACTTTTATAATAAGACAGCTGTCACCCAACACTCAAAACTAGTAGTTAACTATTTGTGTTTCTACTGAAATACAGACATCATTTCCTTTGTTGTATGTTTAAAATATGAGATTCTGCAGTCATCTTCAGCCTAAACAAGTGAAGAGAGTTGACCAATGGCGCACACCTTGTTAGTGGCAGTGTCTGAGTTGATCCTAGGTTGATGGCCTCCACCGGCCAGCAGCTGGATGTCATGATTTTCCAGTGCTAACTGATTCCAAGCAATTTAGAATGTAACTACGTCTAGTATTTTAGATAAAATGTGATTAGAAAGATACTTTTTCCATACTGAACTTGAGGAGGAGACTCACACCTCCAACAGCATACTGAAAGATTTGAGGCACAGTTGCTACTTTACTGTTTTAGACTCTTCTAAGTGTGAAAATCAACTTCACAGCCTAGTAGGTTAGAGTGAAAGAGCAGAGTTCCCTTGTCCCCTGGGGTTCTGTTCGGCTGGGGAGGTGTCTGTCCCCCAGGCATTTGTGGGCTCTAAGTAATTTAGGGAAGGGTGTTGCCCCTCCTCCTGGGTCTCATTGAATAGGACTGGCTGTTTGAGATCATAAGGACACATTTTGCATTTAAATTAATTCAGTCCAAGCACAGTTAAGCACCAAATAGTTGCTTTCAGATAATTGTTAACAAAGTGCTTATTTAGAGTAGAAATAATAGTAGAGTTTAAAGCATGAAAATGTTTAAGCTGTGCTTGCACAGATACATGCTAATAAGGCAGTTCTAAGTAGATACTGAGTGAAGGGAAAACAAGCTTATAAAAGTACTGGGTTGTGAGTGGCTGGAGGTCTGGGTGCTGGGAATATGATTTTGTTCAATGAAAAACAAGTTCATACTTCTTACATATAGGAGTCACATCACGACACTGTTTTGGAAAGACTTGTGTGTCCATAAGAATGGGGCATCATTCTGAAGATGTTAATAAGATCTGCTCTGGTGGACACTATCATTTGGGCAATTTCATCACACAGACTAAAAACCTGGCACTTCCAAGGGGTAATTGCCAATTGTGAAATATTTGTAAGCCCTGAGCAATTAAGCCATGGCATACCCATGAAATGTGCCCTTCTCTTCCCTGACGATGCAGCATATGGTGGCCCTGGGCTTTCAAAGCATGTCACCTGTCCCTGTGACATGCCTACACGGCTGCTGAGAAGTGCAAAATTAGTTAAGAGTCCTTGTGGGATTTTTCTGTTTTTCTCTTCACTCCATAACGTACACATTGCATTCCTCTTTATTGGCGTGTGTGTTGGAGAGGTTAGTTGTTTTTTTGAGTTGGGATTGCTAAGGTTATTAGGTATATTTAGATGGGAAAGGTTATTTTTTCAGGACTGATTATCCGTGTGATGATTTCTTAGCTTCTGCCTCCTGAATTTGGGGGCCAAGTCAAGCTTTGAAAGCTACTTGTTAACTGGGAAGGAGGTTGATTCTGGCCTATTGTTCCCTGGATCTCCTAAGATGCACCTCCCCCAACCTGAAATTTCCTCTGACCTGGGCTCTGTCTACAGTCTACACTCATTTCCCAGCAATGCTTCCCTCCTCGAGTGGAGACACTCCAAGGCGGGCTACTGAAGCTAGGATTCAGTCTACAGAAATGTTGTATTTGGCTGGCCTTGTTTACACCTATCCTAAAGACAAAAGCCCCCAACCCAACTAAAAGAAAAACTAAGAAAGTCCACCCCTTTTCTTTGTTCCCCATTGTGGGGGAGGGGAGACGCCAGGGAGATCCTGGGGGGATGGGGCATTTAAGATGCTAAGTCCTTTGAAAGCAGCTAATTTACATGTTCTCCTGAGGGGTGTCTCCAGTTAAGCCTGTCAACTGATATTAACTTTATGTATTGGAATTTTTGAGTCAGCCCCAGTTTCAAATATTCTGACTTCATCTGAATTTTATGTTTCTTTTAGTCAGCTGACAGCCTTATGGCTCTTATAAGTGCAGAGGTTTCAGGGTGAAATGGGTCCTTTGGAAATGGGCCCTGAACTGTCTTTGGATGGAGGACCTGGAGGGCCTGGGTAATGACTTACTCAGGTAACGGAGGAGGGCGTCCTGATGAGCATTTCTTCCCCAAAGTGAAAGTCAGTGGCTTTCGTAGACCTGGGTAGCTGAATCTCTTCCTGCCAACCAGATCCTGTGCCCTTTCTGCCTCTTGGGTTCATCTGCCATTCTCTGATTTTTCTTTTGCTCAGTCATCAAACCCTCCCTTTGTCTACTGATGTCCTTGTTTTTCATTGTTGACTCCAACTTCAGTGGTGGAGTGGAGCTGTGAGGTGGGTGCTGGGCTGGAGCACCACTTAGGAGGAAAGAGTTCCAGTGCTGATCCTCTCAGCAGGTATGACCAGTGGCTCTGTTGTACCTGTTGTACAGTTGAAGGTAAACTTGCTGTCCTAAGTCATAAAACAGTAAACAGAACAACTGAGATCTGGGTCAAGTGTGATTTCCTCAAATTAACCTCTAGTTGCAATTTTTTTCTTTCTTTTTTTTTTGTAGCATTATAGTCATGTGTTCACATATTTATCAAGACATCAGTTTGTTTGCTGTTTAAGCTACATTTTTGTTTAAGTGATCAAGCTAAGTGTTAGTGATACAAGTCTCCCTTTATCTTTATTTTTTTGTCTGCAGTTTCAGTTAACTGGAGTTAACCTTGGTCTGAAAATATTAAATGGAAAATTCCATAAATAAACAGTTCATAAATTTTATTTGTCTATTCATTTTCTGAGGTGCTGGGGAGTGAATCCAGGGCCTGGCACATGCTAGGCAAACACTTTACTACTGAGCTACAGTCCCCAACCAGTATTTTGAGTCAGTCTCACTATGTAGGCCAGGCTGAACCTGAGATCTTCCTGCCTCTGCCTCCTGAGTACTGGGATTACACTTATGTACCACCACACCCAGTACCCCTAAATTTTAATTGCATGCCTTCTGAATATCCTGATGCAATCTCATGCCATCCCATTCAGTCCTG